TGACTTAATGTAGCAGAGATTACTATCTACAAGGATGTCTCTGGTGTACTCCGTAGATACTAGGTAGAGTCTGTTTCCTACCTGGTAGGTAGTCACCACTTGCCGGATCTGGACACCGGGCTCAAGACAAATGACACTCTGGACCCTCGGTATTATGTAGACATATGCACTTAGGGACGACAGGTAATAGTGTAAATAACCCTGTGGAGCGGTGGCACGAGATTAGTTGTGGCCTACTAAGTAAGACTTCCAAATTTAGTGGGATCAGCTAGTGGAAGGCCTAAAAGGCTCAACCCTAGTTTATGATATCACCAGTGCTTTAGGCCACCGACTGCGCCTGACCCGGATGATTCAGCAACGAGGACGAGGAGGAGAAAGAGATACGAGTCTGGAGAATCATGACCGAGAATGATGAAAGTCTGGTGATCTCTAGGTTAACCAATCCAAGTCCAGGGCCGACTGTCTGATCAATCCGAATGAGATCCACATTGGAGATCGGGCCTAATTCGAAGTGCCTTGCCGTTTCTCATCTACTTGTTCATGGCCTCGGAGAAATAAGATCAGTCTTGATGAGTACACCGATATCCTTGATTCGCTCACCGCTCCCATGATGTGTCGCGGCTAAAGAGGACCACTGGTTGGGTGCCAAAAGACAAGAGTATGACTGTCTCTAGTAAGCAGCCGGGTTCCGATGGGCGGATATCAGCACGAAAGTACCTTTGCCAACCGCAAGGGATACATAACCTCCTAAAACATCTCAGTGGTCAAGATCTTGGAATCTTAACAAGTTCTGACCCACTATTCTGATCTCGGACAATAACCTAAGTAATGGTCTTGGTTGAACGGGGTTCAAGGATTCAGTAGACAAGGGTTCGGGGCATTCATTCTCCCTGAAGCTGTGAGCCCTGTTCACCCAGACGTATGATTTATCCAAGTCCTAAGGGGCATCACACCAGGGGTGAGAGTGGCCATGCAATATCGCACCGGTCTAGAGTTGTCCTTAATATGACTAACTTATGTGTCTGGGTGTGGGTCAGAGGGGCGTGGTGTGAGTTTTGGTCGACCATCTATCGTTTAGGCCATGTGATGCATAACTGGGAAACTTATTGGTTGGTGAAACGAATACAGAGAGGGATGTGCAATTCGGCAGGTGGTCATTGTAAGCTGGACTGCGCATTAAATCACTCAAAAGTTAGGTGTGCCGTGCATCATTCCGGGAGATGAGATGTGAAACGTAAGTCAACATGTCCCAACAACTTGCTCCTAGGATCGGGAGTTCGGTGTGCAGTTCGACTCAGAGGACTATGAAATACACCTTTGTAGGATATCAGTATGGTGCACAATCTCTTAATGACTATGTGATACTGTATCGAGTAGTAAATTGCAGATTTAGACTTTGATTCCTGTCCTTAAGGCTATCGTAATTAGGAGGAAGAAGAAGAGAAAAAAAAAAAAAAAAAAAGGAAAAGGGAAAACAGGGAACAGAGAACAGAGGGCGCCAAAGAGTCGAGGTGTCTTCCAAATCATCATGTTACGGACCATACGAGACCCTCAAGAAACAGAATACGGATTTACCTGAGATACTTCTCGAAGAAGTCTGCAACCTGGGTGTACCTGATCCATGAGTGTCAGCAGTCGCTTTCTGGGAAAGAAACTGAAATTCCCCTTACCCTCGTCTGTATTCAGCATTTCCCTCTTCACCGTCCAGATTGGCCCGGGCTCCCATCCAGCCATGCCACATGGTGCTGTACGTCTCGACGTGGCCACCGATACCATTCGTGCTGATGATATCCGCATAGCCTTGAATTTCCTCCGCTGGCTCATCCTTAGATGCAAGGACGATATGAGGAATTGTAAGTTTCTCAGCGTCCGATTTGTCAGTCCGACTACGAGGGAGTGAATCGAGTCAGTATTCGTCTTTTGTGTACATCGATTTGAGGTCGGACATACCCCGGATGAACTTGCCCAGTAGCTACAAACGGCGTACCGGGCCCAGATGCTGTCACAGCAACCTATGAATTCCATGTTAGATACGAAGGTTCACGTAGCCCATGGAACAAATCAGTTCACCTTCCCACCCCAGCACAGTCCCAGTGCAGCCCATTTGGATACCGACGGAAATAACGTGTTGTACTGCTTGGTTATCTCCAGCAACGTGTCCACGTTCCTCGGGATCGAGGTTTCATTGGAGACGAAACTCGTAAGGGCTTTTTTCTTCTCTTCTGTGTCCGTTGGGAACCATCCGGGCTGGGCATAATTCCCTTCGAAGAAATCGGGCACCAGAACTAAGGAGTTCAATCTTGTAGCGAGAAGGTCTGCCCCCTGCAGGGTCTGGATGGCCATGCCGAAAATGTCGTAAAGGACCACAAGGCCAGTGGAAGCATTCGGCGGACCCGTCACATCTGGAAACGGTCAGAACTGGTTCTTGTGCATCGGGGTGTGACTTGCAGGTGTTCAGGCCAGCGACTTCCTTGTAGGTGCCTTGGGTGGTGTATCCTTGGGGAATCACCGGTGGTAGCGTTCGACATGCGTCGCAAGACATGGTGGGATTCTTCGTAGGGGTGATAGTGTCTTCGGAATTGTCTTATGTGGACTTCATGCCGTAGTTGAGAGGGACGTTATCTTATAATAAGCGAACGCACTAGTAGTCGGACATTATCTCTTAAAGCCGGCGGGGATAAACCATCAGATAAATAAAGTAGGCTAAGCTTTGCGTTGCATGGCCGGGACCGGCCCGGAAACGGGGCACTGGACTGTCATACAGAGCCTTTTGCCCCAAATGAACCTTGCCCAATGCAGTTGACGAAAGAAGGTCAATATAATCTGGATCCATAGCGACCTCTGGGATTGACACTAAGACGAGGTAGTGGCGAGCCATGTCCTTACCACGTTCTGCTTGTCGACCGCAAATCGACTCGACAGGATCAACGGCCCATGGCAACGAGGCAACGAATGAAACGGAAGATATCAACCCAGTTGAGCCCAAAGCTTGCGCTCAAGATCAGATTGGAAAGACCAAGAAAGACAACCCCGAACTGTATCCGGTCGGAAAAGAGCCTGACACCAAAGATGACGCTCCCTATTGTTCCCTTTCCGAGCGCAAAAAGATCTCCGTGATGTTAACCGCATCGTTCTCGGGCATAATATCCCCAATATCTGCTAGTATCTACTATCCAGCACTTCCCACCCTTGCGAAGGACATGCATGTCTCTATCTCCATGATCAACTTGACCGTCATGACATATCTGGTAATTGGTCTCTCTTTTCCATCCGTCTGTCCCAGATCTTCCTGTATTCCGAACAAGTCTAACATGTTTCGAGATATTACAAGGAATTTCTCCCTCTTTCACCGGATCCTTTTCGGACGTCTATGGACGACGGCTGGCTTACATATTTTGTTACACCACATACATCGGGGCCAATATTGGCCTGGCATTACAGTCCGATTACGCAGCATTAATGGTCTTGCGTTGTGTCCAGGCGGCTGGGAGCAGCGGAACAATTGCGATCGGAAGTGCTGTAGTGGCAGATATATCGACGCGAGCCGAGCGAGGCAAATACATCGCATATGCGACCATGGGGACGACATTGGGCCCGGCCCTGGGACCCGTTATTGGAGGTCTCCTGGATCATTTCCTTGGCTGGAGATGGATTTTTTGGTTTCTCGTCATTTTGGGTGGCTTTAACTTTGCCCTCATTCTCGTGACATGTCCGGAAACGTGCCGTGCTGTGGTGGGAAACGGTTCAATCCCCCCTGCCAAATGGAATCGGCCTTTGTGGGCGATGCTGAGAGAATCGCTGAGACCCCAGAGTCACGAGGTAGAGAAGAAGATCGACTATGGCACTCTAGAAAAGAGCAGAGCGCGCCCGAATCCACTGACATCTGTGCGCATCGCTCTGGAAAAAGAGGGCGGCCTGATTCTCATCTACGGGGCACTGCTCTACGCTGGTTACATGATTATTCTGAGCACTCTGACCTCACAGCTAGAGAGCGAGTACGGATTCAACTCCATCCAGGTGGGACTATGCTACTTACCACTAGGAATCGGAAGTCTAACATCCCGTTGGTCCGCAGGGCCTTTGCTGGATTGGAATTTCAAACGAGAAGCTAAGCGCCAAAACCTGCCCATTGTCAAGAACCGTCAACAAGACATCCGAGACTTCAACATTGAAAAAGCTCGGCTGGCTATTACAATGCCTTTTGTGTATGCCGCTTGCTTGTTACTACTTGCGTACGGGTGGGTTATGAGGTTTAAGACTCACCTGGCGGCTCCCCTGGTGTTGTTGTTCTTTTCCGGCCATCTCACCACGGGGGCGTTTTCGACCCTTAGTACGCTGATCGTTGATATTCATCGCCAAAGTGCGGCAACCGCCGTGGCTGCGAATAACTTGTTTCGCTGCTTGCTTGCAGCTGGTGCGACGGCTTTCGCGACACCTTTGATCGATCGGATTGGCATTGGATGGACGACTACCTTCATTGTAGGTGTTTGGATTGTCTTCAGTGCGTTTCCGTGGGCAGTTTATCTCTGGGGACATACATGGAGAGAAGAGTTGCGTGTGAAACAGAGTGAGGGAGATGGTATCCTAGCATAGCTACATTTCAGATGGAGCAAAAGACGTACATTCCTTTTTTTAATTCAAAAGTTAATACATTAGTAAGACTCGCATATATTAATTTTAAAGCCGGCGCTAAGTTGGATCGATGCATCGGACGTAACGCAGTTTCCGACGAGGGTGAGATATAACTTAATCCAGTGTATTTATTAATCACCGGAGATAACGCGGTCTTCGCATATTCCTGGACTTGGGGCCGGAAATACCGCAGTCTACAGTAGTCAAGGAAGTAGTAAACGTGTTGTAGAGAAACTCGATCCTTCCAAAAGAATACCTTTGATATAAAATCCCTCCCCATGGCCAGTCGGAAATGAATATCAGAATGTTTCAGTACCGTCTTTGATCTTCAAAAGCACACCTCCCTAGTAGCGTTTTACCTCCCGATCATGTCTTTCAACCGTGCAGCCTTCCTCCTTGCAGCTCGTAAGACTCCCCTCGAAATCCAACAGGCACCTTATCCCTCGCCAGATCCGGGTACTATTGTGGTGAGGAATCATGCCGTCGCTATCAATCCGGTCGACTGGAAGCTACAAAGTTTCGAGATCTTCCCCTTGAAATATCCTTTTATCTTGGGTGAGGATGTTGCGGGCGAGGTCATCGCCATCGGCAGCGGGGTGACCAATTTTACCATAGGGCAGCGGGTTATCGGGTGCGTTATCCCAGATTTAATCCTTGGAGTCATTCCTCAACCAAATTAACGAGCGTTGCACAGACACTGTAAGAATTTCACAGCTGGAGATAATCGATACTCCGGCTTCCAGAACTTTACCGTCCTATCCGCAACCCTAACAGCACCTCTACCCCCATCAATCTCTTATGAGGAAGCGGTTGTCCTTCCTGTCTCAGTCAGCACAGCCGCCGCCGGTCTTTTCCAGAAGGACTATCTCAACCTACCTCATCCATCTCTGTCCCCTCAGTCCTTGGGTCAGACAGTTCTGATCTGGGGTGGTAGCTCCAGCGTCGGCATCAGCGCCGTGCAGCTCGCTCACGCCGCAGGTGTTGAGGTCATCACGACAGCTAGTCCTCGCAATCACGCTCTTCTCAAGAACCTTGGCGTATCGCGGGTTTTTGACCACCGCAGCCCCACTGTTGTCGATGACATTGTCGCTGCGCTTGAGAACAAGCATGTGGTCGGGGCATATGACTGTATATCGGAGGATCAGACCCAGCGAGCCTGTGCGGAGATTCTCGAAAGCAGCAATGCTGCTCGCAAGATTCTAGTATACACGAATGATGTCTCAACCCCAGAGGGATTGCCGTCTTCGGTCACCTCCAAAGGTATTTTCTGTCTTACGGTGGAGGATAATGAGGTGGGTCCTGCCGTGTGGGCGGATTATCTGCCCCAGGCATTGGAATGTGGTCAGTTCAAGCCTTTGCCTGAGCCTTTGGTCATTGGTACAGGGTTGGAATGTATACAGACGGCTATGGAGAGGAATATGGCTGGGATGAGTGCGTTGAAGGCTGTTGTTAAGCTGGTTTAGTTCTTTGGTGGCCTGAGGGGCAATCTCTTTATCCGGGTTGAGTGGAGGATGTTGTTGGCTTTGTTTGATTGACTTAGATAACAATTAGTGATATAGATTGCTACCGTTTACGGGCTGTGGATTTGATGTTGTATGTGTGAAATGCGTTCTAGGTGGATGGTACCGGATGGTCGATTTAGTCCGCCATACGGCAGTCTATACCTGCAAGCCAGTCAAGATGAGAATACCCCATCACACGGATTTTGCTCGAGTATCTCTTTCTCTGTGTTTAATAGGATATGCATCAAAGCATATGGATAAGCTAGTAGGTCGTTCTTCCAGTGCGATATCCGATCCAAAGAAGCTAGATCGCAGGTAGCACTGCCTGTCGACATTCCGGCCAAATCAATCTATCTGGGAGTAATGAAAGCCACAATATCTTAATTTCATGTAACTCCGCATGAACGCACTTGTGATGAATCAATAGTCAATGAAAATTATCACATCGGACTTTGGGGCTGACCCCATGGTTCAGCTTAACCAGTGTTTGTGGAGGCACATATTACCTACCATTGCGCTTCAAAGTAGATTAACGGACCCCTAGTTCCTGTATTATCAAGCCTGCTGTTCACCAGCATCACTGGCCTGTCCCGGGGGGAATTCCAACAAATGCACCCGTACAACCCGCCTCTACGCACTCCGCAAGGCTCCCAAAATGCACACCCCTCTTCACCATCCCTGGAGCGTAATGAGCATATTTGGCCGAGTTTGTCATTATATTTCGAGATGTAACTGGAATGACAGGCTCCCCGAGCATGCACCAGCAGGTATCTGTAATAATTGTTGCCCCGAATCCCTCGATGATATCGATATGGCCAGCCTTTTTCGACTTTTCGTACGTATCTCGGCCGGTAGTTATGATAACTTTAACATCGTCGGCTCTCTTGCGGCCTAAGCATAATCTAGAGAGAGCCTCGAACTCTTCAAGAGAGAAGTGTGGATTTCCCAAGGATACAAGGTCAACAGAAGAGTCCGGTGCGGAATTGAGCATATGCCAAGTGTCAACTAATTCTTCTTGCCAAAGCTCTATAACGGGTAGGTCTTGTTCTAGCTCTGCAAATTTAGAAGCCTCAGGCGTAACACCTTTGATGTGAAACATTGCAGCAGAAGCAGTGGTACCAAAAGCGGCACTGAATGCTTTGAGATCCATGAGCCGTGGTTGCAGATTCTCTAGCCCACAAACCAATGGTATGTTATGCTGGGCTAGCTTGCCAATGACATATCCCAATAGCGGATAGTAAGAGTCATTGATCGTTCCCAGATCGCTCACCCGGATACACATTGTTGGCCGTCGACCCTCAGGCAAGTGGCATCCAGCTGATGGAGCCCTACCGGTCAAAGCAATGCAAACATCAATAAAGTCGGGATACTTCTGGGTTTGAGCACCAAGGACGCTGTTAGCGAAAACAACAGCGTTTGACTCCGACCATCCAATGTTTTGCCCGGTCTTGGGAGCGGTGTCAAGCGTGTACGGGGCGCAGGTGAAACTGGGCTGTGCACCCATAGAGAGGTAGATATTGGCTAATGTGCCCGCCTGTGTAGCCAACTCCGGGTCGACGTTCAGTTCTTTCCAGCGGCGTTGATCGATCGAAATAGAATTGAGGGTGGTTGGAAGGGTAAATTTAGCACCCATGGATTGGAATTTTTGGGCAAACAGAAGACTCGCAGGGCCTGTATATATACAGGCGTCAATGTGAGCCTGCGAAACGTCCAATAGTGAGCGCGCTCCTTGAATGGTTGCAAAGCTTCTGATAATCTCCAAAGCAACCTTGGCTGCTTGGCCCTTTTCACCAGCCAGAATGCTCCGATCTAGATCTGAAAGGTTGATGTCGCCTTGAATGGGTTCGGCAGGCAGTTTCGGAGTCGGTAACAGACCGTCAGTGACTAGCACAGTCTCTCCATCAATGGCAGCGAAGCGTCTATTGCATATCTTCGAGAAGTCCGAAGAGGACAAGACCACAACCGGTATGGGACATCCGAATAGCACTTTTCCTACTAAAACCCCGAGAGTCAGAATCTGCTCGGGCTTCTCGAAGATCAGTGCAGCTGGAGCACATCCATTCAGCAGAAGCTCAAGCATGACTGTGCTACCTGAGCATGAACCTCTACCGCAGGGAATAGCAAGAATTCGGCCGGCGATAGACTGGCCGCAGAGCGGATGGTGATGGTCTACCACCTGTCCAGTTTCAGGGTTCACTCCTCCCCAAAAGCTGAGTCCAACCGGGCAGAATTGTAACTCTGCAGATGCAGCGCCCTTGATGAGACATTGACCACGAAATTCCATTGTGCTGCTCACAAGACAACTGCGTGATATGCGAAGAATCTAGTAGTTGAGACAAGTCATAGCATTCGACTCTTAGACCTTCACCAGCTGATGTATCCGAGGTGCAGGCAGCCGGTTACTTGTTCTCTTTGAGATAGAACAATGAGCAGCATACAGAGTAACTTAGTTATGGTTGGTTAGCTTACTTAACCCCGCCCGACCTTGGCACTCTCTCGGTATCTGATAATGATGCTTGATTGGGGCCTCTTTCTCCCCATGTCTGGGGGCATGCCAAATGATTCTAAGTATCATGACTCATTTGTGATGACTCTAAGATCCTTGGAAGTTAATCTGATATTTGATTGACCTTCATTCCGGTTCTTTGGGGTCCAAACAGGATCGAAGATATTACTCTTCCAGGATATCGGGGCTGTTTGATGGATTTGTCTTGTCAAGCTGCAAACTCTGCAAACATTGCAAACGGCTGATCCCATTTTCTGATTGGTCCTACTACTAGTACAACTCAGTAGTACTTCCATAATTAGACTAGGGAACACCTTTCCCCCCAAGCTCATTAATGATTGTTGATGGATATACGACGGAGCTGAACAAGCATATAAGGCTTCTGCTGTAACACAGCTTCCCAAAATCTTCAAGGACACTTTAACCCAAGAGTAAAGTCCATTTCTATCTGGCTTTGGCATTTCCTCTTCGTACCCTGCAAGCCTTGCTCAATCATTACCATGGCTTCTTCTATAGCATCCCACCAAAGGCTGGTCGAGTTTGACCTTGTTCAATCTCACTACAAGAAAGTGGGAGATCACGAAATCCGTGCGGATTTTATCATCCCCCATGCAGAGTGTACCGGGAAACGACCGCTCATTGTCCGGTTTCATGGGGGCGGTCTTGTAAGCTCAAAGCCCGACCTGACTTTTGATTGGCAAAACCAAATATTGTATATCGCTAACTGAACCAGATAACTGGAGACTCACTATCCATGGACTGGTTCCCGCAATGGCTTCTTGATCTGGCCAAGAAACATCATGCTGTGATTGCAACTGCCAACTACCGTCTTCTTCCTGAAGCGACGAGTCTCGACATCTTCGAAGATGTCGAAGACTTCTGGACTTGGCTCCATTCCTCGGAAGTTGAAAGAACCCTGTCGTCATGTGTAAACCCAACAAAACTAGATCTTGACCGTGTCATTACGGCTGGCGAATCTGCGGGTGGCCTACTCAGTGTATGCCTAGCGCTGGCTCATCCGGACGAGATCCGAGCGGCAACAGCAAGTTACCCATGTCTCGATATGGCGTCGGCGCACTTCAGTACGCCAAACCCGGTGCCATTAACCAATCCACCCGTCCCTGAGTCGCTGATTGACGAAACTCTAGCCCTGGGCGAGCCTGGAGCTATCAGATCATCCGTTTTGTTGCCCGACCGATTTGATTTGATGCTTGCAGCGATTCACTACGGGCGCATTACCCAACTATATGAGAGAAAAATTGGGAGCTCACACCGACGAGATCTGCGGTATCCCTTAGAAAAAATAGAGCAGCCAGATGTCAAGATTCCTCGTGGTGGAATTGCGATCATCCAAGGACTCCAAGATGACATCGTGCCCGCCGAAGGCAATCAGAAATTTGCTGAAAAGGCACGCGAGGTCATGAAAGGTAAACCAGGGGCTGATAAAGTCATACTGACTTTACGAGACGGTGCCCATGGATTTGACATCATGACTCGTTTAGAAGAGGAATGGATCCAAGAACACCTGAAAGCGGCGGTTGAGGCTTGGTTGGCATAGAGGAAGGGCCAATTCGTGCGTGTACATACTATACAATAGGTACATAAGCAGCAAAGCTGGCTCGCTGTACATGATGTACCTTAGGCCCGGTGATATTCAATGGACAAAGAGCCTATCAGGTGACGGTCACGGTATTATCTGATCTTGCGGCCAGGAGGATACAGATGGGATTATTTCTTCCTTAGGAATTCCCTATCAGGATTTTCGATTCAGCCTGCTACTTCGTGGGCCGAGCACTATGTGTACACCGTTGATCCAATAGAGTAAATCCTGAGCAGTTGCTCTCGAATATGGTATTTCAAGTCTTAGTGTTTTCTATCGCTAATAAACCCAAACTAGGATTGTATAGGCAAAAGATCGAGAATACAACTCGTGCACCTGATGAAAAAACTTGAGAAAGAGACATATGCAGACTCCTAGGTTTAAGATGAATATCCTCAAGGGGGGTTGGTTGGAGGGCCTGAGAAGTTGCCGTCAGGAATGCTTGGGTAATGTTTTGTACGCCTGGATGCATTAACACATAGGAGTATATGTGTGTCCTGCCACAGATGGTCATCCCTGATACTAATTTGTCGCAGAGTGTATTAGGTATTTTATGGAATGTATCAATTTCCAGATATCGCGGCAAGGTCAGACATTGAAGCCTTGCAAGCGAGACTGCCAGACTATCTGACAATTTGTACGGTATTCTACAGGCAGCACTGGCCTATATCATTAGTCTTTTCATGACCAGCATTGGTGGTCTCTAGGACTTTTTGACAAAGAAGGTGAAAGGCTATGCTATCCTGTCGGAAACGTAGACTTGCGTGCCACTAAGGGGTTGTTTTTGATCTGAGATTACTATATAACTCGCTCTAACCCAATCCACTACTGTTACGTGTTTAATACTAGTATATGCTTGGGACACTGCTGCCCCCCTATATATATTTTTTTTAATAATTGTTCAAACTCTATAGACCTATACATGCTTTAGGGTTCTCAGTGACCGAGTATACGAAAGAGTAATTAGGGTTCCGAAGGCATCCAAATACTATGCTGAACGGGGTAAGACCGAAGGTCACAGGACTCCGCCCACCATTAGGGCCCGCTTATTCTTCTGTCTTGAGCGACTTGCATCGTACTATGTACATCCACGTTTTGATAGGACTTAAAGATTTCAAGAACTCGACTACGGCACTTCTCAAACTCCTATCAGCCCGTGTCCTGTATCGCCTCCATGGCTACCACCACACCTCCGCATTCTCAGCGAAAGCGCCGACGTCCGGCTCTTTCCTGCGAGCAATGTCGTCGTCGAAAAATCCGGTTAGTTGGAGTTGCTCCCTGACTCGTTTGACATACTCTCATTCGGTTCCAGCTGCGATAGAAACTACCCGTGTGCTAACTGCTTACGATCTGACCCTCGATCCTGCCATTATGTTGACACGGATCGGAAAACGCATATCGCACACGATCAGGTCATCGATTTGGCCCCCACGTCATTTTCAAACAGCAATCCACCATTGGACTCGTCCATCCGCCCTGATGATGTACAGTTTTCTGGGCGTCTCGATGTAGGTGCACTCCCATTCCCTCGTTCATCGTTGGCAAGTCCCACAGTTATTCACCATTCTAAGGCTTTGCATGTGCCTGCAGATTTACAGGCAGGATCGCTTGTTCAGTCATTAACAGATCGAGTACGCCAACTTGAGAAGAAGCTTGACGAAACCCTCAATTTGCAACCACCAGATAGCTGTCCAAGCCAGCCACCCACTAGAACGCGTGAGCACAGTTCAATCAATGGAAGGTTCCTGAAAACGAGGTTCTTCGGGAACAGCCATCGATCTATATGTGAACACAGGGTACCCCTCCCCACTTATGAACTGGGATGACATGGACTAAAGCTTAAAAGGTTCAAGGCATGATTCATATGTTCTACCAGAAGGCGTCTGAGATCCCCGAGATACAAGTTCTCTACGAAAGATGCAAGCAGCTCGCAAGAACAGTCAAGTCACAAGAGATAATTCAGCAGAATATCTGCCCTGACCTGAGGGATTACATGCCACCGAAACAAACATCTGACAGGCTTATCCAAGCGTACCTTCGTACTTTCGAGTCTGTCTACCGCATCGTACATGTGCCATCATTTCTACGTGAATATGATCAATACTGGAAAGATCCTCAAACAGCTAGCCCGGCGTTTATTATCATGACTTTACTAATGCTAGCGATTGGGAACTCGTTTTGCCAATCTGGAGACCCAGATAAAGACTATGTTCCGCGCTCTACATCATCACAGTGGATATATACGGCACAAACGTGGCTCAGCTCGCCGTTTGAGAAATCCCGTCTCAATATCGCTAGCCTCCAAACACAATGCCTCCTCCTTTTGGCCCGCCAGACAAATGGCATTAGCAGTGACCTTGTCTGGATCTCAGCTGGCGCTCTGCTTCGAACAGCTATGCACATGGGCTTCCATATTGACCCTCGTCATATTAGGGGCATTTCTTTCTTCGATGCACAGCTTCGACGGAGGATATGGCATACAATCCTTGAGATCGTTGTCCAGTCTAGTATGGATGCTGGAGGCCTTCCTCTAATTCATTGTGATGACTACGACTGTGAGCCTCCTCTTAACATTGACGACGCCCAGATGGAAGATTTCATTCAGGCAAAGCCCCTCGAGGACTTTACCAATACATCCCTGCAAATACTTTTACAGCGATCACTGTCTGTTCGTCTACAAGTTGCACAGTTTTTGAACGACTTCCGCCGTGGCGCATCCTACGACGAAGCTTTGCAGCTTAGCAAAAGCCTTACGAATATATACCGTGAAAGCTCGGCCCTATTTGACGCTTTTAAAACTAGTGGAAAAGCTCCCACCGTCTTCCAGTCAAACCTCTACGACTTGATGACGCAGCGCTTCCTGCTTGCTCTTCATGACCCCTTTGCTATAAAGGCAAAAGCTGACCCGACATTATATTACTCACATAAAGCGGCCCTCGGAATATCCATACGTATCCTAGCACCATTTAGCACGTCGATACCGGAAGATCTTGACTATACCGCGTTGCTGCTCACGGGCTCTCCATCATTTCGGGACGTTCCTACCCAAGCAGCTGCTATCGTTGCAGATGACATCATTGGCCGAATTACGGAGGAGCAAACTAATACTTCCGTATCAGCTCCCCAGACGTCATATCCTTTGCCGCACGAAGATTCCAGGCGTGTTGTCGAAAGGTTTGTCTCATGTGCATTGGCACGGGTTGAATCTGGCGAAACGAACATCAAAGGTTATCTAGTGTCTGCATGCTTTCTGGCCAAGATTGAGGCTATGGAGTGTGGTCGACCAATCGATGAAGCGTTGAGTAGGACTATCTTGTCAGTTCTTCAAAGGTGTTCAAAAATCTTGGAAGACAGGGTTGAAAGATTGGGCCTTTCACAACCAGGAACAGGACTGAATACAGCAACTAATGAGGAATCAAGCCTGACTGAATTTGATAACCAGTTCAACTGGTCTCACAGTGATGATAATGTAAGTTGTCTGCTTGTTCCTCGTTGGGTGTAGTGTGTATTGGAGGTGTACTGATGGGATTCAGGATATGGAATTGGATATAGGCTCATGGTTTCCTTCCCTTGCATTCATTTAGGCTGGAATCGTAACAATGTTGCATATTAATGTTGAATACTGCCGATGTGAGATCTATCTATTGATCTGGATTGTTGGTTATAATAGAGCGAAAGAGGAGACAAGGGTGCTGAGTTGCAAGGGGGGCGGGGGCGGATTTATAGGTGCTGTGCATATGAAATGATAATTCTCTTAGTATTGGATATCCTCCTAGGTTCTTATTATGAGGGAACGATACACATAATGATGTAGCCATCACAGATTCCAGGCAGATATCAGTCTTCTGTCTCTCGTTATCTACGTGTATGTTTGGAAGACGAGCCACTAAGACCATATCTCTACTATCATTTACAAGCCATAGCATATGAGATAGCTCGTTCTTTAAATCATAGGTCTTGGAGATATGTACATGGAATTCGAAAGATTCCCTATCTGCACCGCCAGAATCCCAGAGTCATCGAGTAACCAGGCAACAGATGTTGCAGAACCTTAGCCGAACAACCACCCATGGTTTGTGAAGGAAAAGCGAAAGCAAGTTGATATAGACTGAAGTCTATATCGATACTCGCTCACCATTCACAGATTGCCGTACACTTGATCTCCACCAATAACCGCGGATTCGGTAATTCTTTGACACCAATTGTCGTCCTTGCTGGCGCATCCTCGCGATTGGGCCACACTTTGTTCCATTCTTCATTCATACCTTGATAGCAACCGGCCAAGTCAGTCAAGAACACCGTTGCATCGACAACATTCTTAATGCTCCCTTTGCCGTCGGTTGCGCCACGAATAATGGTGTCCATGTTGCGAAGAACTGCCGCAGTCTGTTGGCGAATATCCAATGTCCATGTTCCATCTGCATGCTCAATCACGCCGTCCCAAGTCCCATTTCCGCGGCGTGATGATGTACCAGAGACATGGATGGTACGAGAAGCGGGGTTTGTGGGGAGAATGCGTGCATGAGGGTAGTTGGCGAGGCCTTGGGCTTTTTCAGGTGGAAGGAAGAAGGCCGAACCGTTTGACATGTTGAAAATTATAAAAGTAAATTTCACCAGAAGTAAATTTGGAGCTTTCAATACGCTAAATCAATAAAAAGGCGCGTAGTTTTTTCTAAAAACTAGAGCTGTAAGTGTCCCTTTATAGCTTCATTTGATATCCGTCGGATAAGGACCCGGTTCCGGGTCGACGGGTGTGTTCCGTGATTTTAACACCCATGGGACGGTTTAGTTGGGACAAGCCAGGCGGCTAATCGCATAAACTTCCGATTGAATAATTGGAAATTTTCTTGGTCCTAAGGGGATAAAGAACCTTGGCTTAGCTTCAAGCTAAAAGTTCAGTCGTATAATGATTAGGGCATTGAGCTCACATGGTCCGGAAGGGTGCGGGGTGTTTTGTCCCATGACGTACGGACTAGCCTAGTCTAGTAGTACTACGACTATACCTGCATTTCCACGTCTCTCATCTCTGACCGTCTTCTTCATCCCTTTCTTAGCTGGCTTCCAAGAGCCAACAACCATCGACAAGATGACGGCCCAAACCTTTCGTCAGATCTCAGCTCACAATCTCAGAACATTCCGCCGCAATTATGTGTCGGAGATTTCGGGTTCGCTCGGCGATCTCGGAACCTTTCTCCCTATCGCCATAGCACTGGCCATCAACGGCACCGTCTCGCTGTCCAGCACCCTCATCTTCTCGGGGCTCTTCAATATCTTGACTGGCCTGTTCTTCGGTATTCCACTGCCTGTTCAGCCGATGAAAGCAATTGCCGCGGTAGCAATTGCCAGATCCTTCAACAATGGCACCATTGCCGCCGCCGGAATCTTCGTGGGCGCGTGCATTTTCGTATTCAGCGTCACTGGTCTTCTTCACTGGTTCGCAGACGTAATTCCTATCCCCGTCATTAAGGGTATCCAGGTGGGTGCAGGCTTATCGCTTGTCATCGCTTCTTGTGGAAATATCCTGTCTTCCCTTGGATGGGTCGGGCCGTCCTGGGCGGATAACCGGATCTGGGCCATCGCAGCGTTCGTTTTCCTCGTCATCACCAATGTTTACCGCAAGGTGCCCTATGCGCTGGTAGTATTCATCCTTGGCATTATCTTTGCCATTATCCGCAGTGCGTTGGTAGCTGACCTGCCGTCTCTCGCGTTCTGGCACCCTTACACCGTCGTCCCCACTCCTGGACAGTGGTCCGTGGGTGCTCTTGATGCGGGTATTGGGCAGATTCCACTCACGACGCTGAACTCCATCGTCGCCGTCGTACATCTTGCGGGCGACCTGATCCCGAATGTCCGTACGCCTTCAGTCACGTCTATCGGACTCAGCGTTGCCGCAATGAACCTGGTAGGCTGTTGGTTCGGCGCCATGCCTGTCTGTCACGGTTCTGGCGGACTAGCAGCCCAATACCGATTCGGAGCACGGTCTGGCTCAAGCGTGATTTTCCTGGGCCTCCTAAAGCTGGTGATTGGTATCTTTTTCGGCGAAAGCTTGGTGGGTCTGTTGAAACGGTTCCCTTCGGCGTTGTTGGGTGTAATGGTGATTGCTGCGGGACTGGAGCTGGTCAGCGTGGGAGAAAGTCTCAATACCACTGGTGCTCGGGATATCATGAAGGCCAGTTTTGGAATTTTGGGTGATGCCAGACAGGATATTGCGCCAATGCTCAGTGATGCGGACCGCAAGAGACGATGGACGGTCATGATGGTTACCGTGGGGCTGTTAGTTGGGTTTAAGAATGATGCGATTGGATTCCTGGCTGGCATGCTGTGCCACGTCGGCTATGAGCTGCCTGGTCTCTGGGAAAAGGTACGAAATCGGTGGAACGAGGGTCGGGTCAGATTGCAATAATCGCCCGTTTGACAATTTCGAACAATAACGCTGTTTATGACTGCATACGAAGCTTACTACTGAATGATTTTTTTTGTCTTCGGCACGTTTCTACGCCGTTTCTAGCCCACGATATACATAGCAGGATGTTTTGTTATTCGCTCGAGGATTACTTTCCTCCCTGGGGAGGCGCACAGTAGGATGGAGCTGGCACCATGGCTTTGCTAGGAGATTCGCAGATCGAACAAGTCAATCGGAGCCTTAGGAATCAACCATGAGGATCTTCGGCGTGACAATCGTCTTTGGAACGAGGCATGTTGGATATGGATTTCAGCCGCTCTACCTCGAAACTTTGGCTAACAAAATATCCCAAAAGAGGAGATAACTGTCGTACAGAGTCAGGAAAGCGTTGACATGTTTTTTAGCTTGACCAGTTTTGTATGGTGCTTGATGATGACGAGTCACTGGCATTGTCGAATATTCCCTTCTCGCACCGAACAACGGAGTAGAGAATTCTGGGTCATACCAATCACCATCCATTGCAGATTAAATGTCCTTAGCTTAGAAGTTCTACTTGCCTTGCTAGTGAGTTAAGAGTACACATATGAAAGGATATTCTCCAATTTTATATACAATTGAATCCTATATTCCCACTGACTAGAAGTATAGTAAGACGATTGAAGGTTCATTCACCTAAACACAAGATATACACATCATTAAGTAGGCATCATATTAAAACCCCATCGAGTTCCACCCCAGGAAATTCAATTCAACCTCCCATCAAATAGATATAGACCATCACACCAGAATAACCCAAGCCCTAATCATAAGATTCACCACCCTCCTCATCCAAATCCGTAATGCGGCGTACTCCCCCAGCCGAAGAGTTACCTGCAGTCAATTGCCGACCGGTTTGGTCATAATGTTTCTCATCCACGATAGCCGGCTCGCCGAGGTCTTGACGGTAAGTGCGAACAGTCGTGGTTCCATCCGGTTCAGTCTGAGAATAGGTAGCATAGCGCTGACCGGTAGCGGTGGTGCCGTCGTCGGTGCTGCTCGAAGAGCTGTAGAAGTAGGAAGAAGAGCTAGAGTAGGATTCGGACATTTTGGAGTTGAGTAGAGTAGAGAATTGGTTTTCCAGATATAGACGTTTTGTATGAAATTGTAGTAGAAGGGTTTTGTTATGATTGTGTATGTAGTTTTTTTTTTTTATCTAGTCTTGTACACGTAGTTGAGATTCTGTTGGGTGCAATTGCGAAATGTCTATCTATATATCTACTCTGTAAGGCCGTGTGGCGATGGATGATATCATACCAACATCAGTTGCGCATGGGATCTCCACCTATGAAACACTCTAGGAAATGGTGATATATTTTCCATGTGGCTGAATGTACTGTAATTTAGTGGTGCTCAGGAGACTCTGTACTACGACTTTCAAATAAAGAACTGCTTGTGGAGTGACGTTATGGCTCGTGTTTTTTGGTGGGCTGGACGCCTCGTTTGGCTGATGCGATTGTTCTAGAAGGTTGAATGGATTTCTTCGAATATACTGTCCAGGGATTTCCGTGGTTGGGGGTCCGTTGCTGTGGGACCTTTGTTCCTGTTACCTGGAGGGTGCTGTGGTGTTGGCTGCTTTCTGGTGGGGTTGTTTATATATATTGAACGGGGTGTTGGTAGCGGATGTGTTATGTGCAATAGGTGATCGGTTCTATGCCGATTGTGGGGTTTGTTATATGTTTGCCAGGATAGGAGCTAGTTTGAAAGCCTGGAAAATTATATTAGGAGTCCTCAAGTATAATAATTGGACTATGAGGTGGTAAGAAGAGAAAAAAGAGATGAGGATACATGGAAGGTCAGGGATGGAAAATGAAAAAAAGTTGGAGACGCGGGGAATCGAACCCCGGACCACTCCCATGCTAAGGGAGTATTATACCACTAAACCACATCCCCAATTGGATGAAAGATATCAAGGATTAATGTTTTATAACCTACAAACAGCAGTTGAGTAAATTACACACTAGCGTATTGCTTATCCAATCGGGACCGATAGAACTTTTCCCGATGCGATTTTATCAGAAAATCTTCCAGACCACCACAAAAATTCCCATTAACGCCCTGCAGCGCCAACGCAGCTGGTGGATGAGCTGCCCTTTGTCGTATAACGTCTGTCAGCTGTTACTGTCAACTATTCTTGCAGCAAGATCGGAGAATTAATCATAATATCCACCTCTCGCAGCCATGGCTGCCCCCGTCCTCCCTCTCCAACAGGTCAAGCTCCCGGCGCTGCCCTCGACTCGCTTGACACCAGAGCAGCAATATTGGAAGACCTTTAAGAACCCCCTGCTGATTCCCTCGCCCGCCAATGGTCCCGTCAACCTAATCACACAGCCTTCCGCTCCGTCGTCCGCCGCCGCCTTCCCATCTCTCACCCAGCCTCCCGATGTCTTCACCGTGACCACCGGTGCCCGAGTCCAGATTTACTCTATTCGCACCCGGAAACTCCTTCGCACCGTCACTCGCTTTGATGACACTGTACGCGGCACGGATGTTCGTCCCGACGGTCGTGTGTTTGTTGCTGGTGACGACACCGGTGCGGTCCAGGTGTTCGATGTCACCTCGCGCGCGATCTTGAAGACATGGCGGGAGCACAAGCAGCCCGTCTGGGTGAGCAAGTTCTCCCCCAGCGACCCGACTTCTCTTTTCACGGCGAGTGACGATCGCACCGTGCGACTTTGGGACCTCCCGAGCGAAAACAGCGTCAAGACGTTTGTTGGACATACTGATTATGTGCGCAGCGGTGCATTCATGCCGGGGTCGCTGGCGTCTTCCGGATTGCTGGTGTCGGGTAGTTACGATCGTACTGTGCGCCTGTGGGATCCGCGTGTGGAGGGTCGGTCTGCGATGACCTTCAAGATGGCTGCTCCCATTGAGAACGTCCTGCCCATGCCGGCGGGTACTACGGTGCTTGCGGCGGCTGATAACAAGATCGCTGTGCTGGATATTGTGGCTGGAAAGCCTTTGCATATGATTCAGAGCCATCAGAAGACCGTGACGGCGCTAGCGTTGGCTTCTAATGGTGAGAGACTGCTGAGTGGTGCTTTGGACGGTCACATGAAGGTGTTCGAGACGACTGGATGGAATATGGTCTCTGGATCCAAGTACCCCTCGCCTATTCTTTCGCTCCGCGCCATTACCTCCGGGGCAGCGCAGGAGGATAAGCACATCGCAGTTGGTATGCAGTCTGGTCTGTTGTCGATCAAAACCCGACTCTCCGGCCAGCAGAAGATCAAGGAAAAAGAGCGGAGGAAGGAAATGCAGGCCTTGTTGGAAGGCAAATTGGAGGAGCATGACCGGAAAGTGGCCAAGCAAAAGAAGCTACGGGGCTCCGGCTGGGAAAAGCGTTTCCGTGGTCGTGATTTCATCGGCGAGGGCGTGGATATTGTCATTGAAGGCCAGGATCGCAAACGGAAGAAGGAACAACCTTGGGAGCACGACCTTCGCAAGGCCCGCTATTCCGCCGCCCTAGACCAAGTGCTGGCTTCGGGCGACAAGACCGCACAACTTACTCTTTTGACCGCACTTCGACACCGTTCTGCTCTCCGCGCATCCTTACAAAACCGCGACGAGGTTACCCTGCAGCCGGTGCTGCAATGGGTGTACAAGAGCATTAGCGAGCCTCGCTTGGTGAATCTCAGCGTCGAGGTAGCCATGAACGTCCTCGACATCTATTCAGGAAACTTGGGCCAATCCGCAACAATCGACAAGCTGGTTGACCGGCTGCACCGGCGCGTGCGAGACGAAGTGGAAATGGCTCACCAAGCATGCCAGACAAAGGGCATGCTGGATATGTTGAAGGCGGCCTAATCGAGCCACCGCTGCACTGGAATTGACATAAAATAAAAGCAGATGTTTGACTAGATTTGTTGCATTACTGGATACCTGGTTGGAGTTTGGGGTTTGGGATCGCCCAACTGTATCATGGCAATATAGATGTAACTAGCGCAATTGATGAATATTGACGTCCATCACACAAAACTCCATCCAAATAGAATCAACCACAATCATTGATACAACTGGGAGAAACCCTCCCCATTCTCCGGCGGTTGCAACCAATTCCGCTCATCATATTTCCACCCATCCGCGCCCTCAATAACGTGGAAAGTATACGCAAACCGACTCCGATCACTCGTGTTCTTCTCACTCTTATGCAAAACATTCCCATGAATCAAAACCAACGACCCAGCCTTCACCTCCAAAATCTCCACATCCTCCTCTTTCGGACCCTGTCCCTCCACCTCCCCTTCCTCCATACCCCTCGGCAAACCCGGCCCATCATTCTCTATAAACTCTGTCCCAACCACCACACCCTCATCATTATACCTCCTCACAAACCTCCTCTTCACCACCCCCCCCGTCCTCCCCCGATGCGAACCAGGATACATCCCCAACGTCGCATTCCCCGGCCCGGCATCCTGTAACGCAAACCACCAGCCTACGGCCGACGGCGGATCCGTATACAAAAACTCCGAATCGCGATGCGGGGGCACCGCACCCCCAATCCCCGGCTGTTTGCATATCACCATACTCTGAAGCACCCGGGGATCCTTGAACCCCAAGGACTTCGCGATCGCCGCATTACGCTCCGACAGCGACACGGCCCGGAACGGTTCCGAGAGACTGTGCAGCGAGTGCCCGATCTTGTTCACCGCTTGCTGCTTGGGCTTTAGAAGCGCGGGTTTGCCGGTGGATGGGTCGGGGGAGGCGGAGAAGGCGTCGGGTTCGAAGAAGAAGCGGACTTTGTCGCCCGAGGTGAGGAAGTAGTCGTCGCCGACGTGGGGTTTGTCGTCCTTTAGGTCGTCGCCGGTTGTGAATTGAGTTAGGGGGTGTGTGTCCAGTGGGAAGGTGTCGAGGAGGTGGTTGGTTTCTCTGAGGAGAGAGGTGATTTCGGTGGGCGTTAGGTGGTCGGGGAGGACTAGGTAGCCTTTCTCTTGGAAGGAGGCGAGTTGGGCTGGCGTGAGGCCTTCCATTGTGGTTTTTCTTTCTTTCCTTTTTTGCTTGCGTTGGAGGTTGTTGGTGTTGGTGTTGTTGTTTGGGAGTGTGTGAGTTGGTTTTCGTGGTGGGATAAATAAATGCGGGGAACGTTTTTATTTTGTTGGCGGGTCTTATCGGCTTATCGCGGCCTCGGAGCTTGCCGAGCTTCAGGTACCGTACATGATAAGGGTTTCTTTAGTCCGAGACTTTATGATACTGATTTGACTATGGGGCTGGAATATATTTATTATCATAGAGCGTACTCATACTGGAATTCATATTAGGCTGTAGAGTGATGACGCTGTCGTTTTACCGTCACACCAACCAATTTGCAAGATTATCCCCGTAGTTGTACTAGGTTTGCTATGACGAAGAACAGCCGGTCTTTCTCCGTGCAAGTACTTTGGCTAATCCTCGATCAAGATGCACCGTTGCGGAGGCTGGAATCCTCATGCTGGGAGCTGTAACCCACAGCACATCTTGCACTTTACAGAGAAATATGTGTAGTTCTTGAACAGATCATTGCTCAAGTCAGCAAGGAGAGGTGTTTTTAACTCAGGAAAACAACCAAGGGGGTTATCTGCCACTGACAAGGCTACTATTTCTCTCTGAATGATAGAATCTGGCATTCTGTCTGCTTCGAGCTTCGAGCATAGATTGGATGATGGGCAAAGTTTGCTTGCAACTGGCGATCAGCGTCGACGACAAACTCAGCACGCCTTTTGCTGGTTTCTTGGTTGGAAAGTCCAGGCGTCGTGTACGCCGCCGTAGCAACCATGGGGCTATGTTCCCGGTACGCTTCCGCCTCATAGTCTGGGAAAACAATCTAATAATGGCTATCTATACTAGTACCTTGCACATCGATGGATAGCAGCGGATATGCCCTAGAGTGGCTAGCAGCGCCATGCAAGACGACGCGCCGACATACTAATGAAGCAGCCTGACTAGACTGTGCATTAGTAGGGATATAAATATAGCGCAATGCTTCCATTTGTTTGCTTTCGGGTGAAAGGAATCTTTCAAACCTCTCTAACTATCCGATGCACAATGCCTGCATGAAATGGGTGCGAGAATGACCGGGTGAGTATCCACATCTCGCACCCTGTTATTCTAGGTTGCTCTGGCTTCCCTTTCCTGTCACAGTTGACAGTTTCACCCCTGGTTTATGCGTCAATAGTGCTTGTTTGCTGATTACGAGGAGATGTTTGAACATCAAACGGGTGCGGAGCATCATGCATGGCCCTGCCAGGATAACACATCTACTGTCGAACCAATTCTTCAAGCGCTAATTCGGCGACTACTTGGCACATACCCCTGCGTCAGGCTACAGGTGCAAGACCACTTGTGCCGCCATCGGTGCTTCGTTACTGCAGCAGTGATGAAACATGCTGACGCGAGTTATTTCTGCGGTGATAAATTTAGTTAGGGTTATGCATGTCAATCTGGGATGGTGTTTCAGCTTGAGGTCCAATCCTGAGGGCACGGCCACTCGCCAGAGGTGTATATCATGGCCATTTTACCCAGAAAGATGATACGGAGGCCTTATCCTACGACCCTATCGCTACTATGAAATCAATGTCTGTTGAGCAATTGCAAAAGCTCCTTCATGGTCCTGCTGGCATATCGCCACCGGGCGTGGAGCCCAACTTAGTGAACCCTCCAAATCAACGTATATCTGGACAGGCGGCTATACTAGTTTGCGGTATAGCGGCGTCTATTACCTTGTTCATGCGCATCTACACCAGGGTGTTTGTTATCCGCAAGACCAGCATGTCCGATTGTAAGAATGCATAGAGGCACACCGTTTCCGCTTGCTAACATGACACCATAGACTCCATTATTGTGGCCTGGGTAGAGATCCTCTTTCTTCATCCAAATACACGGGCTAAATTGATTATTGTAGGGAATTTATGTGGGCTTATGCGTCGTCTGTTGGTTTGGAAATGATGCTGGACCCGGGGTTGACATGTGGAATTTGCGTCTAAAAGATTTTAGGAGAATGCAATACGTTGGTTCCCCTGGCACCCAACTAACTTTTGAATGCTAACTCTAGGTCCAGTGGTTTCACATAGGCTCGATCATATATGGTATACCCATATTCTTCATAAAAGCGTCTATCCTTTTACAGATCGTGGACATCTTCGTGCCTACTAGAAGGAACGACCCTATGTTCTGGATTTGCCATGCCCTGATATGGATCAACTTTGTCTATTATACGATTGGTAGCTTCCTCGAAATTTTCGCCTGCCGTCCACTAAGCAAGGCCTGGGACCCTCTCATTAAAAATGGGTCCTGTATGGACATGTTTCTCCTCAACTGCATTGCTAGCTCAGTGAATGCTGCCTCAGATTTGATAATCCTCGTTTTGCCACAAACACGCATTTGGAGATTGCAAATGCCGCTGCCGAGAAAGCTTGCTGTATCAGCGGTCTTCTTATTCAGTATAATGTAACGCAGTGGTTTCTTTTCTTTCTCTCCAACTCGCAACCCTTCATTGATTGTGGCTAATATTTCATTAGTGCTTGTATCTCGTCTATCGTGAGACTAGCATTCTCCGTACGTCTGATGCAAAACAAGGATAACATATCCTATTACAGTTGGCTTGTGGGATTTTGGCCGCAGCCAGAGATAGCATCTGGAATCGTTGTGGCCTGTCTTCCAGTGTTGCCCAAGCTTTTCAACAGCCTGAAGCAGAACAGCCGTATAGCCCGGATGACTAAATCTCTTCAAGGTATTTTTTCTTCGTTATCATTCGGAAGTCGGAGAGGTACAAGAACCAGCAGGGTTGTATCCAGCGAGACAGTCACCGAGTCTTGTCAAGTTGTCCAGATCAAGGACAATCACTCAGATGACTATCCGCTTATTTCTTTGACGAATGGCAAGCATGTAGTGTAGCTTATGGTTTGAATCAAGTACGAAGTATTGTCATGGTTGAAGCGGAACACATATCGGATGAAGACAGCTATTGACTGAAATGGCCATGGAATCTAAATCTCTCGTGTGAATCAAATGTCGGTGATCGAGCCTATTCATCTCTTGCTAGTGTGGTCTTGTAGCTTTATTCCGCTATTCACCAACATTATTCCAGATAGGCAAAAGGCCATAGTCGAAGAATATGCCACGGGCGGCCGTGCTATAGTTCTCTTGATTAACTGCGCTGCCTTTGCTGTAGCGACAAGGTTTCAAGGACCAGGGATCTCGCGCCCACTGTCATGAATGTAGACTCTATTGATAAAGATGGCCATTTCTTCTCTAAATGCGGTCAACAATCCACACCCCGGGCTTAACAGGGGTTATATTACCGCCCTATCAGTTGGTAACCCTCCTTGTTGCTTTCAGAGAAGAGTTCATACCCATGGGTGTTACGTTGCTGCTTCCTCCCCCTCATCGACAGCAACTGCACAAACGTTTGGTGATCGTTCGTATCTGAAATCGTTTCCCCCGAAGAGCGATCATGGCTCGATACCTCTCTCTCCTCCCAGTTGTTTTAAGACATCTGAGCGGAGAAGAGTCTTTCTATGCGGAAACTCATCTCGCGGGAGGATTCGACAGCTTCCGCAGCGGATATCTCAAAGAAACGGAGGCCACCTCAGTCACGGCAGGCATACATTGACAGTCTTTTTCATGTTGTATGCAAATCTCATTCATCCGTGGAAACCAAAAATTATTTTCTGGAGCAATCTTCGCACAGAATTAACTTATTCCTCTAGTATTATACATCGTGGCTTGAGTGAGAGGCTGTTTCTGCCTGGATCTGAGAATAAATGGAAACAGCTTGATCGTATGTTGCATGTGAGGTCCAGCCGTCCCTGCTAATAATTCCTGATAAGGCGTCCCAAAAGTCTTGTACTTCATTCCAGCCTTCACTATCCTCATAGTGTTTGCGAATTTCTTCAGGAGAGAAGTCGATGGGGCACTCAACTGTACAGCCTAGTGAACTCCACTTCCTTCAAACATCGTTCAGTAAGCACAATTGGCCAACTATGCAGGATTAGCTCACAACTTACTTCTGTATCCTTATTAAAGACTCTCGTAGTGGTAAGATATCTCCATCCCATGTATTCCCAACAAAGCGAATTGGATCTGTTAGTGTCTTGCCATTTGGATACTGGAAAACTCTGCTCAGAATTGGGTTTCTTTCTGCCGTATATTTCTCATAGAGATATAATAGGATCGAGTTGGTAACTTTGCTCTTAACAGTATTTTGCGTCTTTTCATCCAGTTGCTTAAGATTTTCAGGTAGTTCGAGTATCAAGTCACCGTTATAATCGAGAAAATGAGGATGGCGGCCTTCTAGGAACAAAGGACCAGCCGATGTGCTTTGCCAGTCAATGACGCTAGTGATATGACCACTATCATCGACAAAAATATTAGGAGTGCGAAGGTCTGGGTGCCATAAGAATGACCGTGAAATACTTTCCTCCTGTGCGATCAGATGAGGAGCAATAGACAAATATCTCTGGAGAAGAGAAATGTGTTCAGCAGGATCGTTCTGGCTGTGGGAAACGAATAACGGATCATTTGGAGAACGCGGGATTGCATGTTTTTGGATCCAAGCTATCTCTCGAAGGGCAAAAGCCTGTATGTAGTCAACCACAGAAGCCCCTGTATACAGTTATCAACGTGATCGGCGACGGGAAATTGATGAAAAGGCGTACATGGTCCACGATGAATATCCATATCGCCTCGCCCTTTACTCCAGAATGCTGTGTCTACTATCGGCCCGATAGAATACTTCTCAGCAATTTTATGCTTAATTTCATGCGACAAGTTGCCTCCTTCGACTATTGCAGGGTGAGATCCAGGAGGTGCGTCTTCCCTGTAGAAAAGGCAACCATATCTGCTCAAGTTAGAAGGTATAAAAAGTTTCGCACCTTTATGATAGGGATAAACATACTCGGAGAATTTCAACGATAAAAAATTGTGTTGGATAGTCACTATATCCTCCATCGTCTGAACCTTACATTCAAGGTCCATGTCTGTCCAAACATCTGCGAGATTTCTACCGGGGGCATACTCCATGATGATATACTCAGCCCCTACACGGTTCGTAGAGTCAACTGCAGAACTCCATGCAAGAATTTTGGGGACTGGAAGACAGAGTATGGTTCTTAACTAAAAGTTATGTCAAATCACTAAGATGCAACTCTAGATATAAATAATTAACGTGATCGATGATAAAATCTACTCACAAAGTCCATTGTGGCAACCTCGGACGCTGTTGTCAAGCAAGCTGGCCCAGCATTTGGATTTGGAATTCGAGCAACAACCGTCTTCCCATTGCCCATCGTAAGCTTGAACAACTTGTTGTATGACCCTTCCCCTATCTTTGACATACTAACACAGGACCCAGAGGATGATGATTCCATAGCGATGTTCTGTATCTCAAGTATATTAAATTCACGATACCTCTCTTGAAGTTGCTGCCTTTCATCCCAAACCCATCGTCCACTGGTATAGTTAAAGAAATCCTGTGGATCTCCGACAATATTAGCCATCCGAAGCTGAGGGTGTTGATAAGAATAACGTCGGCTTGAGATGGGTAATAGGGTGGTGTCTCTTGACAATATTGGTGAAATACTCTGAATTCCCTTTAACATGCGTGAAAATATAGGCATGATTATTGCAAACTATCGGGTGATCATGGAAAGATTATCGCAGGAGGCGTAACTTTCGGGGGGTTCAGAAATTAGTGGCTGGGGTTAGGGCGGGCCTTCCTCCCGTATTCGGTACGTTGGTGTCCTTACACCCCTGCAACTATCGCTCCCCCGGGATTGAATTTCGTAAGAGAATTTAGCTGGTTAGATCCCCAAGAACTTACTAAGCAGAAGTATTCTGCCGGCAGAAATATCCCAGAAATCAACGAACTGGCTATAATGGCTTGCCGTAGACAGTGGAGGTGTAGTGCTGCGTTTCGCGTGAAGGGAGCAGGAACCAGCCAGCCCACGGAACGGTAGAATCATTCAACTTTTCTCCAAACCATGACAGTCGATCTATACAACGTCCTCCTTCAGTCTTCTACTGATTGTAAGCAATCCCCTCCAATGTTGGAAGATGACATTCGGTAACTCAGATCCAAAGCGTCTTTGATTGTATTTTCGCAGCCGCCTCTTACTACTAGTAGAATCATGGGCGGGGAGTGTGTGCTTCTCGCCCATCACACACATATCCACCAGCTACTGTAGAGCAAAACTGTATGGGAGCTTAAGGCAAGATACTAGCACGTCCATAGAGTACAGTCCTCTAAAAAAAAAAAAAAAAAAAAAAAACAAAGTTTCCCGTCTGTGATGTGATTGAGATACCGCGAGATTGTAGATCATGACCTTTTCCAACCTCACCGCATTTGCAAAATTTGGGAACAGAGACAAAGTTGTTCGCTACACCACCGTTCACTGCTGTTATCCAGGTGAGCCACGCAGACACGCAGTGATACGCTATCTAAGTCAATTTAGAATCGAGCATAAGGCTGTTCATTAGATCATTTCGTAACACCAGCGCCGTGCGAGTGCCTTCTTCAATGGCGCCATCTATAAAGCTCCGCCAGCCCAATGCCCAATCAGAATTAGCAAAATATATATTTCCTTCTCGCGCTCGCATATCGAAGAGATGGTCTGACAAGAGACGAGGCCCAGGAAAAAACCTAGATGTGTTGTTCAGCAATTGTCCTGGTAGCTCAGTAGAAGGAACTATACCATGCCCCCCTAGCGAATTCATCTTTTGACCAGTTGTGGAAAACCTGGGATGGTTAGGTTGGGCCTTCGTGATACCATGCAAAACTCACTAGTGTTTCAATATCCATCGGAACCAAACCTTGAAGGGCTTTGATTGTTACCGGGATATCCTCTTCTGGATGAAAGTGGAGGTGTTGTCCACCAAAACTAACGATGTGTGTATTTGCGGCCTGGGTAGTTCCATCCCCAAAGGCAATATAAAGTGGGTTATGAGGATAGCTGATACCGGTGTAGGAGCGCAGGTCCTTGTTACTCACTTCGGCGTGCACCTTAACAATCTGATTAACATGGCCAGTGTCGGCAGCTCTTTTCTTTCCTTTCCGCAGAGGTGGATCGAACACAACAGAATTCAAAACATTCAAAGGAATAGTGCTGACAATCCGCTTTCCCTCGAATTTCTGTCCATCCCTAGCGGTCACGGTGGCAGTATTTCCAGTGTCTTTGACACTGACCACGGGACAGTCAAAGACGTAGTCCAAATTATTTGTGGCGAGAGCCTCCTGAAAGAAATGCATGGCAAAGCTCGACTGCCCGTCCTTGAATTTGTACTTCGCCAAGTACTCGATGCAGCCTTCATAAGAATAGCCACTGAGCGCCCACCAGTGCAGAACCTCGAGAAAGCTTACCGTCTCAAGGGTCCCACCACTACACACAAGGACCCAAGCTTCGATGCCACGACGCTCATTCAGCGTGAGAGAGTCCTCGATATTCCGAATGCGATCTGCCACAGACATTCGGTCATATGCAAGGGCTTCCCTAGTAAAGGAGGCCGAATGAGGGAAGGGCATAACCCGCTTGCCCCACTGGCCGTCAATATTGAACAACTTCTGGAGCCCAGAATCCATGATAGCGTACTGCGATTGTTATGTCAGATCAGGAGATATCATTCCGAACAGGACAGAACGAATGAGGTGCTAACCTCTTCTTCATGACTGAAGCGTTGAGTACCCTTGGGACTGGCTTGGAGATATTGGTTGACCCCGCTCGAGAAGTCCATGGATATTTCAATCTTATCTTGCATCTGGTACCGCATGATCTCGCGCCAGACGTGAGCTTGGCCCCAGTGGATCCAGGTGCCACCCATCTCGAAGGGATAGCCGTCAATATTGGAGGACCAGGAGCGACCACCAATGCGGTCACGGCCTTCGAGAAGGAGAACTCTCAGCCCTATGTGAGGTCAGATATTGAGAAAAGGTTGACAACGCCCCGAGATTGGTGTTGCTACCAGCGAGGGAGATATCCCGCAAAACAGTAAGGCCACAATAGCCGGCTCCTACCACAATCACATCGTAGACACAGGGAGAAGGGCCATTGAGCTTAGTTGGGGGTTGGATCCTCCCAATGCAGGGGATACCTGCCTTGAGGCCCTGATCTGGCGTCCACAAGTAACCGTCCCGGGAAGTCATGTTGTGTGGGAGCGTTTCACGGTCAGCTCGCAAATGAACGATAAATTTCGACGTTTGCAGCAAGGCGCCAGCATTAAATGGCGGGTCTTTTATCGACTGATGGAGTTGGGATGCTAAAACATGGGTCTTGGGTTCATGGCGGGGGATATTCCGTTGATATCATGCACTAAGCTGTGTCGGGAGCTAGAACCCGCCAAGAACGGAGCTTCTCAGTATGACGACCTCTTCAGGCAACAAATACCAACGTTGATTTGCCCTTCCAAGGTTTCCCTCCCGGTATATGGCTTAGAAACATTATTTGTCCGACTTTACGTAGTCGTATGGCCCCCTAACTGTCGGCTATCGATTACCATGAAAGTGAATTGTTCCGCTCACGCAAATAGTACCATTCCCAAGAAAGAAAGATGAAACGGCCATCACCTCAACAGCCATCCGTCTTTCTGCGAGGTCATTCTTCCTTGTCACACCCTACTGGGGGGTTGCTGATTGACTCCACTCTGTCCAACGGTTGGGGGAATACCCGGGTATAGAAATGCCGAGGCTCCGTAGCTAGCTAATGGATATCACGCAGCCACACTTGGGCGGCTATATAGCTCAGCATTCCACAACCCGTATAGTTCAAAGTACACAATGAACACTTGAGTCGCAGATTCCCACCAGGATCCTGCTCGGTCGAACCCTTCCATATACCGTCTTGGAATCGCCAATTAGATCACTATGGGCAAGAAAGTTCGTGTCGCTTGCGTGCAAGCGGAGCCAGCGTGGAATGACCTGGAGGCAGGAGTAAACAAAGTGATTGCCATCATCGAGGAAGCATCTGGGAACAATACCCAAGTGCTTGGATTTCCTGAGGTCTTCATTCCAGGGTATCCGTGGTATGTTTGATGCCCCCCTTCACAATGATTCCTATTTGGCCATTTTTTTTTTTTTCGCTAATAAGCAAAAGGTGTATGTTTCTCCACCCCCCAGCGTCAAATAGTGACTTCTTCGTCAAGTATTTGCAAAACTCTATGTCAATGGACTCGCCACAGATGCGAAGAATCCGCGCAGCGGTGAAACGGACTGGCATGTTTGTAGTGCTTGGCTACAGTGAGAGACACAATGGCTCTATGTATATCTCTCAGGTACAGGGGCACCGGCATCAGACAGTGGATGACGAGACTGACCGGTAACAGGCGTTTATTGACCCCAAAGGGGAAATCGTCCTTAATCGCCGCAAGATCAAGCCAACTAACATTGAGCGTGCATATTGGGGGACCGGCCAGGGCGAGTCACTCCAGACCGTCGTCCCTACGGAGTTTGGCCGCATAGGAGCCCTGAACTGCTGGGAGCACACGCAGCCGCTGCTACGCTACTACGAATATGAGCAGAATGCAGAGATCCATGTCGCGAGCTGGCCTGCAATGTGGGATGCGAAAGACTCGACAGATGATACACCATTACACCAGAGCAGTGCAACGATGAACCAGCGACTTTCACAGGTTGTGGCCTTTGAAGGAGCCTGCGTGGTACTAGTCTGCACGCAAGTGATGTCAGAGCAAAATGCAGAGAGAAACGGTATTACTGGGTGGAGTGATCCCCAATTACCCGGCGGAGGCTTCAGCATGATATATGGGGCCGATGGGGCCCCCTTGTGCGACCCTTTACCCCCAGGAGAAGAAGGAATTCTCTATGCGAATGTGGACCTTGATGAAAACCTCAAGGCGAAGCAATTGATTGACGTAGTTGGCCACTATTCTCGCCCTGAGCTGTTGAGCCTGCGTGTAAATACTCATGGCGCACGCCCTGTGCACCATGCCTATGAGCCCCACCAGTGATACTGTTAGAAAATTGATGCTTCACTTTCGTGAAAGATTACGTAATCTATTGGCTTGAGAGAAATGAACTGGCGTGAGCGAAAGCCGATATTGTCACAGGAAATTTCCTTGTTGTTGTTGCTTTGGGGGGGG